TATACCCTCCCATGTTGACAATGTTTGTTCATTTATTTCTGTTGCTCACTGCATAGCTGTATATCATAAATAAAAGCACAGTGCTACATAAAAATACACACACACATATACTGAACATATTCAGAAGAGAAAATATCAAATTGATATTTGACAGTACGGGGTTTGAATGAAAATGCGAGAATAAAATTGTCTGTTATCATATATATTTGGAGTTAAAGGAAAATTGAGAATGCCAAGTTTAGAAAAATGGATGGTGTTCTAGAAACTAATGTTCCAAAGACCTATGATGTAATGTTCTATTCGATCTTAGGAGCTTAAAAAAATGTGCATTTTATTTAAATTCTTTGGCTAATGCTGTCAGCAAAATAATTTAGATAGAGTGGTATGCATGTTTGGTATTAGAGCTTTATAATAAAAATTAAATGTCCATGTAGCCAAAGCTTTCCCACATGTTCATCCTCTTTGGAACCAGTAATTCTGTTTCTGGGAATGTATTCTAAAGAAGTGTTCAAAAGTATGTTTGCCTAAAGTATCTTTGTATATAAAGCCTATTACTTGTAAATAACAAAGGGCTAAAAGCAATCCAAAACCCAATGATAGGGACTAGTTGAATGCACTGTGGTCTTTCCATTGGCCAAAATATTAGGCAGTTATTAAAAATAAGCCTGATGAAACATATAGAAGTTATATATTTTAAGTGGAAAAAACATTAGAAAATAAAATTTTATAATTAGTTCATGATAGTTATTTAAAAACTGGCTTATGTGTACAAAGGATGATTGGAGACCATGAATCACTTTATTCTTTCTTTCTTTACTGGTTTCATATTCTAAAATACTTTACATTAGCATTTTATATAATTTTAATAGGGAAAAGTGAACTTTCAGGAAAATTTATTGTTATTCAGCACTACACTAGGTTATTACAGATTTCTAAAAATAGTTAATAAGTCTTGTTCATTTTAAAAAAATAAATCTAGCTGAACTAATACACTGCCCTCAAGAAAAACTCTTCGATTCTTTATATTCAGATTTCATAGTCACAATTTTATTGAAATTAGACTTGTTGAATGGGTTACCTTAGTTACATAGGATAGACTAGGTAATAAGCTAAAGCCTCATAAAATGAGTGATCATTTATGTTTAAAAGCCATTACAGATGGATTTTTTTAATTTGGCTGAACAAGAGCCATTTCTTCCATTTATGTCAGTCATTTGTTTATTCCCTTTATGGAACCCAGGAAGTGAACACTTAAAAACATTTTTAGGGAAGATGTTGTATATAGTATATATTCATCTGTAGTAAACTATAAAAGCTTGTTAATCTAAAAATAGAATAATAAAGCCTAGAAAAGTTTGCCTGAAACATTACTCTGTACCAGGTCTCTGGTATATAACTTTAATATTTCTATTACCATATCTATTCTTATTGAACAAATTTAAATGTTAATCTTGTTTCTAGTTTGCCATGTATTGTCTCCTGCTATTTTATAAAGTGCTAAAAGAAGAACTGAGCCCAATCCAACCTGTTGGCAAATTTCTTTGTGTAAAGCTGGTGGTTTTTGTTTCTTTTTGGTAAGTATTACTTTCTTTTAAATGTTCTCATTTTTTGAAAGGCAATAAAAACCGTTGATTAAGGAGGATTTTTAAAACATAGTCTTAATGCGGATGATAGATTAAAATGTCTCTACTTATCTTTTAAAAAGTTCATCTTTTTAGCCCTTCTAGGATTTTCAAAAGAAATAATTAGATGGTCACTGTAACATTTATATGAAGAAAATAGTTTGAGACAACCTAAATATGTCAATACTGGAATAATTATTAAAATAAATCATGGCCCTGTCATATAGTAAAATACTATGGAGTTTGGAAGAAAGCATGATGTAGAATATTTAATTATATGAGAAAATAATCAGTAAATCCTTTTAAAACAGAAGGTAAAACTATACATAGTTCAATATAGTAAAGAGGGCCAGGCACAGGGCTCACGCCTGTAATCGCAGCACTTTGGGAGGCTGAGGCGGGTGGATCACCTGAGGTTGGGAGTTCCAGACTAGCCTGGCCAACATGGCTAGTCTCTACTAAAAATACAAAAATCAGCTGGGCATGGTAGCAGGCTCCTGTAATCCCAGCTACTTGGCAGGGAAGGCAGGAGAATCGCCTGAACCCGGAAGGCAGAGGTGGTGGTGAGCCAAAATCACACCACTGCACTCCAGCCTGGGCGCCAGAGTGAAACTCCGTCTCAAAAAAAAAAAAAGGAAAAAAATCTAGTAAAGAGGTGGGTAATAGGGGTCCTAGAAAAAAATACACCAAATTTAACAAGCTAGAAATAATACAAAAGAGGAAAAAGAAAAATCCCTGAAATCCCACCACCCAGAAAAGAATGATTAACATTTTGGTAAACCTGTGTCACATATAAAACTCTAGAGAAAGTTTCATGCTATAAAAATTTGTGGAATTCGACAATGTGTTCAGTATATTGTAGATACAGTTCTTTGTCAGTAAAAAGAAATATAATTTTGTTTGTTGGGGGGGTATTTTTTGTGGGCCTTTTTTTTTTTTTTTTTTTTTGCTTTTGCTTAGTATTCTGTTATGTGAATATAACTTTTTACTAATCTCCTTTTGATATTTAGGTTGTTCCTAATTTTTTTACCATTATAAGAAACACTGAAGTGAATATTCTTGTGTATACAACCATGAAAGCATGTCCACTTCATTATTTGCTGTTTAAATTTTACCTGGGGCCATTATCTCTAGATTGCTTGAAATGCTCAGCTTGACTCCCTATCTTGGGACAAAGCTACTAGAAAAATGAATTTGTAAAGCAAATTAATATATTTAACATAGATAGAGTTTCTTCAGCAATATGCTGTAAAGGCAGAGGGTGGTGGTGGTCCACAGGTTGCACTGGGTTTTTTTTTTAATGGCACATTTTTAAAACTACTGCTCATTTTATGCTTGATATAGATTTGGCGTTTACCTTTTCCTAACATATAGGCAAGCAGTAGTTATTGCTTTGTTGGTAAAAGTTGGCGTTATTTCTGAAAAGCATACATGGGAATGGCAAACTGTAGAAGCTGTGGCCACCGGACTCCAGGTAAGTAGGTGCCATCTCTGAATTCAATAGAACTTTACTATTTGTTAAGCATTTTTACATATCTCCACTAAATCTGACAACCCACAGGGTATGGGGGCTATTATCCTCACTTTACAGGTGAAAAAACAGGGGAACCCTAGAGAAATTGGCCATAATTACTAATTTGTAGCAGATACACGAATAAAACCTGGATTTCATTATTCCTAAGTCCAATTCTCTTTCTACATTTCTCCTTGTAGTCCTTGGGTGGTGAAATGCAATATACTTGATGTGACTGAGAATGAAATGTACTTTGCTAAGAAATACTTGAGGCTGACTGGATGCAGTGACTCATGCCTGTAATCCTAGCACTTCGTAAGGCCAACATTGGGGCATCACTTGAGTCCAGGCATTAGAGACCAGCCTGGGCAACAAAGCGAGACCTTATCTCTACAAAAAATTAAAAAATAAAATACTTAGCCAGGCCTGACAGTGCATGTCTATACTCCTAGCTACGTGGGAGGCTGAAGTGGGAGGATTGCGTGAATGCAGGAATTCAAGGCTGCTACTTGAGGAAGTGCAAAATAGATTCACATTTTGGCATTTTGCCTTTTTTTGAAGAGGTCAAAAATAATTATTTAGAAAATGGAAAAATGAATATAATCTGAGAAGAAAAAACACAGCTGTTTATCTTACCACTTTTGAAAAGCAAGTAGAGAAAGATAGCACTCTACAAAACTAGATTTAAATCCAAAGGTGACTGTTATTTTATTGTTCTCATAGGATTTTATTATCTGTATTGAGATGTTCCTCGCTGCCATTGCTCATCATTACACATTCTCATATAAACCATATGTCCAAGAAGCAGAAGAAGGCTCATGCTTTGATTCCTTTCTTGCCATGTGGGATGTCTCAGATATTAGAGATGATATTTCTGAACAAGTAAGGCATGTTGGTAAGTACCAGCTATTTAATTCAACCAAATAGGTTAGGTAGGATATTGAATTTCTCCTGCTAGGGCAATTTATTATCTATTTGGAGATGAAAAAAGACTTTAAAGCAGTACCACAGTGCAGGCTCATCAAGTTTGGGGAGTAGAAGAGGGGGAAGTGGGGAGCTTATTTTTAGAATGTTAAGTTTATAATGGTAAAAATAACTTTTGACTAACAGAAAACTTTATATTAAAGGACGGACAGTCAGGGGACATCCCAGGAAAAAATTGTTTCCCGAGGATCAAGATCAAAATGAACATACAAGCTTATTATCATCATCATCACAAGATGCAATTTCCATCACTTCTTCTATGCCACCTTCACCCATGGGTCACTACCAAGGGTTTGGACACACTGTGACTCCCCAGACTACACCTACCACATCTAAGATATCTGATGAAATACTTAGTGATACTATAGGAGAAAAAAAAGAACCTTCAGATAAATCCATGGATTCCTGAACAGTATGGAAAAGCGAACTGTGCGACTACTATATTGTATCATTACCTGGAATCCCATGGATTTTGTGCTTGGGACAAACCATAAATGATGGAAACTGTCAACACAAAAATAGCTGCAAGCCAGGTACAACTACTGAATTTATATATGTAAGTTTTGTATATCAAAAATAATTGGTCTAAATTTCCTAGACTTAGACTTGATTTCTTAACATTAGAGTATCACATACTCAAATGGTAGACAATGACCCCAACTAAATTTTCCTGATGTTACACTGCTTTATCAAGAGGATGGACTCTTTTTTTTTTTGGAGAGGGAATCTTGCTCTGTCACCTAGGCTGGAGTGCAGTGGCGCAATCTCGGCTCACTGCAAGCTCTGCCTCCCGGGTAAACGCCATTCTCCTGTCTCAGCCTCCCGAGTAGCTGGGACTACAGGCACCCGCCACCATGCCCGGCTTTTTTTTTTTTTTTTTAAGTAGAGACAGGGTTTCACCGTGTTAGCCAGGATGGTCTCGATCTCTTGACCTCGTGATCCACCCACCTCGGCCTCCGAAAGTGCTGGGATTATAGGCGTGAGCCACTGCGCCCAGTTGAGAATGGACATTTTTTTAAAAAAATCAGTACTTCCTACCACTGCTGCATGAGTATAATGCTCCAGAATTATCAGAAAGCATAATGCAGAAATACGAATTAGTGGAACTTAATCATGTGCCATATAAGCTTACCTAACAAGCAGTTATATCTCTTATTTCTCAACTGAATGTCTTTCAATAAATAAGAATTTATCATTTATTTTCTGCAACTTTTTTATGTCTCATTCTTTAAACATTAAAAAACCTTAATATTTTAACAATTTTTGATTAGAGGCACAGTGAAAAAGAAGTCAAACAAAAAATGTACTACTTTTCGTCAGTGCTATTAAAGGTGGCAGCAAATGTAAATCTTGGCTGAATGGTCTTAATTACTCATTAAACCACAGTCAGAAGATATATAGGTGCTATTTGGGAAAACTTTATTACCTATGATGGGGTTTCTCTAATTGCTAATCACAACCCCACTGGGTCATGTTTGACATTTTATAATGAAAATAAAATAGAAAGTGCCATAGTATGTTACAGAAAGCAAAGATGAGTATTGTTTCTCAAAGCCTTTGCTTTATGTATTTATACACATACTTATTCATATATACATATATAGAGACAGATATAGTGGTTCACAGTAATTATACAAAGTCTTTATTCTGTCCACTGTTATAAACATTTCTATTAAAACTAAAACTGGGCTATATGTAAAAACCCCAAAGATACACAAAAAAAAATCTGTTAGAACTCAAGTGAATTCAGTAAAGTTGCAGAATACAAAATCAACATACAAAAAGCATTAGCATTTTTATACATAAAGAATGATCTAACTGAAAAATCAAGATGCCATTTATGATAGCATTAAAAAAATACTTAGGAATAAATTTAACACCAAGGCAGTAAAAGACTTGTACACTGAAAACTATGAAACACTGATGAAAGAAAGACACAAATAAATGGAAAGATATCCTGTGCTCATGGATCAGAATAGTATTGTTAAAATGGTCACACTACCCAAAGCAATTCAGAGTCAATGCAATCCTATCAAAATTCCAATGGCATTATTTACACAAATAGAAAAAAAATCCTAAAATTCATATGTAACCATAAAAGACCCTGAATAGGCAAAACAATACTGAGGAAAAAAAGTTGGAGACATCACATTTCCTAATTATAAATTATATTACAAAGCTATAGTAATGAAGACAGTATGGTACTGGCATAAAAACACACACATAGAACAGTGGGACAGAAGAAAGAATCCAGAAATAAATCCAAACATATACAGTCAACTAATTTTTGACAAAGACACCAAGAAGACACAGCAGGGAAAGAACAGTCTTTATTAAGTGGTGCTGGGAAACTGCATTTCCACAGGCAAAACAATGAAATCAGACCCTTATCTTAGACCTACACAACAATCAACTCAAGATGGATAAAAGACCTAAATGTAAGACCAGAAACAATAAAACTAGAAGAAAACATAGGAGAAAAGTTCCTGGACACTGACCCTTGGCAATGATTTTTTGGATACCACACCAAAAGCTCAGTCAACAGAAGCAAAAACAAACCTGACTACATCAAACCAAAAAGCTGCTGACAGTAAAAGAAACAGTCAACAAAATGAAACAATAGCCTATAGGTTGAGTAAAAAATATTTGTAAGCCATATATCTGAAAAAGGGTTAGCATCCAAAATGTATAAAGAATTCATACAACTCAATTTTTAAAATGGGCAAAAGACCTAAATAGACATTTCTCTGAAGAAGACACACAGATGGCCAACAGGTATATAAAAGGGTGCTCAACATAATTAATCATCAAGGAAATGCATATAAAAACCACTCTGAAGTACTACCTCTCACGGAAAATGGAATGGAAGTTTCTAAAGAAAAATAAAACTACCATATGATCCAGCAATCCCTCTTCTGGGCATATACTCAAAGCATATGAAATCACCACCTTGTAAATAGATCTGCAGTCCGTGTTCATTACAGCATTATTCGCAGTAGCCAACGTATGGAGACAACTCAAGTGTCTGTTGACAGATGAATAAAGAAACTATATATATGCATACACACAATGGAATATTATTCATCCCTAAAAAAAAAAAAACCAACAATATACTGCCATTTGCTACAACATGGATGGGCCTGAAAGATACTGTGCTAAATGAAATAAGCCAGACAGAAAAAAAGATACTGCATAATCTCACATATACATAGAATCTAAAAAAAAAATTCAAATATATAAAGAACAAAACTGGTTATGGGGGGTAGGGAGAAATGGGGAAATGTAGGTCAAAGGATTCAAAGTAGCAGATATGTAGGATGAACAAGTCTAGAGATCTAATGTACAACATGAGAATTTTAGGTAACAAAATTGTACTGTATTTGGGATTCATGCTAAATGAGTAGCTTTCAGCTGCTCTTGTCAAACAAAAAATATATGGGTAACTGAGATGATGGATATGTTAATTTGCTTCACGTCGTATACCTTAAATGTATGCAATAAAATTTATTTTAAAAATAAAGCCGGGTAGTATAATTATAGAGGTACCAAGAATAGGTAGTCTGGAGCAAAGATCCGTCTTATTTGTGACTTACAAAGAGTATACAGCATATAGGAGGCATAATAATGATCTTCCTTTATTTCAAAAGTCTGTAAAAATTGGATCAATTAATCTACTTATTGTGCATCCAAATCAAAACTTGGAAAAATAGGATTAACTCTTTCTTCAATTAAACTTTGTTGTTACCAGCTTTTAAATGTTCTTTTGCCAAAGTAGACCAAGAAAAATGCTGCCTCCTGAAGATTTATTCCCTAACTCCTTAACTGTTGTAATTACATTTAGCTTATAGCTTAAATTTCTTTTTCAAGCTTGCATTCTCAAAACAAAACCTGAGATGTTTCAGATGTACACTGAGTATTTAAAGGAAGCAAGATTGCATTTTACAGGTAACCATAACCCTCAGTCTTCAGTGGAAGCCTTTCAGTGTTTCCCAATTACAAGTTTGGATTTAAGAAAAAAGGCCAAGATGCCTACAAAAGTAAAGTTTTGCTTTACTTATTGACACATGTCAATAACAAGACTTTTAAAATCCTTATTCCGTAATATCGAGCAAAAGAAGTTTCCTAATTCAAAAAACTAGTGATGTATCCTTTTCCAGAAAGCAAATCTGCAGCAGTATTTCTATAATAATGCTACTCTTTTATTTAGAATATTTTAAAATATGCTTTATTAATGTCAATGTTTAAAAATATTTGACCATTACAAGGAATTTTTATAGACCCCCACTAATTAAGATAAGAATTTTGTACTTGTTGATGCTCTATTTAAACAGTTTTCATTGGAAAACTGCTCTTCATTGCTTTACTGTGATGCTGACATTGCTTTTGTGGTGCTGAACACTGAGTACAAGTTCCTCTCCCATTTCAACCTGGATGGGATTATCTAAAACAACTGCAGCTTGTTTCCAGTGGGAGGCTTCACTTGAAGTATCCAACCTAATCTCTTCATCAAGGTACATATGATACCAAAATGGAATAGCAGTCACTCTTCCAGATTTACAAATGTGTACCTATGAAAATTAAGAAATTATGAAAATATCATCAGAGTACATAGAGTAGACTTAAGTCTTCTTTCTCTTTTTAGTTACTTTTAAATACAAGAATTTATTTTAAAATACATTTCACCAGCTAATTCGTATCAATATTAACCTATTGACTAATTTACTTAAATGCATTTTTGGATACTGTTCAGAAAATAAGATTTAAATCTTTAAAGTAGCTAAAACTATGTATAAAAGTATCACCTAATTTAAGATAATTATTCTAAACAATAACAAACAAAATCATTTTGCATGTTGTCCTTACCTTTACTTCTCTTTTAGAGGTGTTCAAATATGGAGTCATTAAATCTAGTCTTAAGAGTTCCACTGGCTTGCTTAAAGGTATACAGGGCAATGAGGATAGATCCAAAAATACACGTATAGGTACCTAGAGAAAGTATAAATTTTTCACTTTCACTTTTTGTGGTCAGGGCTCAAGTTTTTCACTTTTACATATTCCTTTTGTGGTCAGGGCTTGCTTTGTACTTGACTCAGTATGATAGAATACTTTTTACATTACCTCCTTTATATTCCCACATCAAGCTAAGGCTGGCTTTCATTAGAACTTTCATTGTTCCAGTACAAAAAGTATGAACAAACCAAGGTTTAGGCAGGTTAGATAATTTGCTCTGGTTTCCATTACCTGTAGATCTTTCATTTGGATGGGAGCAGATTAAATTTTTTAAGCTAAACAGCTCTGAAAATTTTTAACCCAAGGATTTGTTTATGAAATAATGGTACAACACTAACTGAATTGTTTCAGATATGATGCCAGATTCAATCAAACAATAATTGATTTCATTTGGAAAATAAGTTTATTTCTAGAAGGCAGTGGTTCTCAATCTTGGCTGCAAACTAAAATCACTTGGGGAGCTTTTTAAAAGCCCAACTGTTCAGGCCACACCCCAAACCATCTGGAAACAGGATCCCCAGATGCTTCCAATGTACAAAGTTGAGAATCACTATTAAGTGGTCTGTCAAGTTTAGTAGCAATTGAATGCTACTATTTAATACTAATAATTTTTAGCTTCATCCTCATTTGAAACAAAGGAAACTGTCATTTTCCTTGTATAAGGCGAAACAGGACACAGATACATTCGCCTCTCCCTGGGCATCCTTGAAAGCATCCAGTCTTTCTTCCCCATAAAAACTCTAACAGTAACCCCACACCATTTCTAAGACTCCTTGTTATGCTCCTATTTTTACATCAAACCAGAAGAAGCCTTAGATTCTCATGTCACCTCTTATCACTTGCCTCCTATGCCCCACACTGCTGAACCCATACCTCATAGTCGGCCCCACTTTTGTTTCTCACAACACTAACTGGTCCACTCCTGTCTTTTTTTTTTTTTTTTTTTTTTTTTTTGAGACAGGGTCTCACTCTGTTCCCCAGGCTGGAGTGCAGTGGTATGATCACAGCTCACTGCAACCTCCGCCTCCTGGGCTCATGTGATCCTCCCATGTAGCTAGGACTACAGGTGCCTACCACCACACTTGGCTAATATTTGTATTTTTTGTAGAGATGGGTTTTTGCCATGTTGCCCAGGCTGTCTCGAACTCCTGGACTCAAGCAATCTGCCCTCCTTGGCCTCCCCAAGTGCTAGGATTATAGGCATGAGCTACCATGCCCGGCCCTCCTGTCATCTTTGCCAGTTCCTTCTATATAACCAACCAAACCAAGCTCATAACTTTATGAGTTCTCTAGAGTTCAGTTCCCAGCCCTCTTTATCAACATGCCCCCATGCTATTTCATCCAGTCTTATGGCCTTAAATAGCAGCTACAGGCTAACTGCCAAATTTAAAGCTTCAGCCCAGAGCTTTCTCTGAATTCTTACCCAATTGCTCTGTGACCACAGCAACATACAAAGCCTGATCCTATTTTCCCCATTATCAGTAAATGGGAACCATTCTTCCAGGTGCTTTCACCTAAAAAAAAATGGAGTCCTCTTTCATAGCCCACATCCAACTTACCAAAAATTCTACCTTTATTTATAGCCCTATTCTCCAAATCTAAATGTACATGTAGTAGACATTCAGTAAACATTTGTTACTCTATCACCCAGGCTGGAGTGCAGTGTTGTGATTTCAGCTCACCGCAACCTCCACCTTCCAGGCTCAAACAATTCTTCTACCTCAGCCTCCCAAGTAGCTGGGACTACAGGCATGCACCACCAAGAACAGATAATTTTTGTATTTTTTGTACAGACAGGGTTTCCTCATGTTGCCCAGGCTCATCTCGAACTTGTGAGCTCAAGCAATCTACCCCACCTTTGCCTCTCAAAGTGCCAGGACTACAGGTGTGAGCCACCATGCCCAGCCCATTTCTAAATCTTGACTCCTTATTTCCTAAACAGAGGCTAACCCCCTTTTGCTTGAGCTCTGTTTTCCTAGGCTCCTGCATTTCTGCTCTCTGCAGTCTGATTTCCTAGAATCTGAGCATTAGCTGCTGATACTTATCAGCTGCCAGCCTGAGGTCTCAATGTAAGGGTTCAAGTTTAGAACATAAATCTTTTTTGGACAAAGACCACTCTTTTTCGTAAGATTAAAACCTAGGACCCTTCTTCCATTTATGACAGTGATTCAGAGGAGTATCTATAAACTTTTTTTTTTTTTTGAGATGCAGTCTCGCTCTGTCATCCAGACTGCAGTGCAGTGGCACGATCTTGGCTCACTGCAACTCCTGCCTCCTGAGTTCAAGCGATTCTCCTGCCTTAGTCTCCAGAGTAGCTAGGATTGCAGGCGTGCACCACCATACGTGGCTAATTTTTTTTGTATTTTTAGTAGAGGCGGGATTTCACCATGTTGGCCAGGCTGGTCTTGAACTCCTGACCTCAAGTGATCCACCCGCCTCAGCCTCCCCAAAGTGCTGGGATTACAGGCATGAGCCACCACACCTGGCCAAATACCTATAAACTTTTATCAGCAGTCACGACAAAATTCCTTGGTTACTATAACGTCTAGGTTGATTTTTACCTATAATAAGTTCCTTTGTTGTACGAACTTACTATAGGTAAGAATCTAAGTGCTCTTAGTCACTGTGTTTAATCCAGCTAAACTTTAGTCACTGTGTTTAGCTAGATTAAACAGTGACTAAAGAAAGAGCGAAGGTAGACTGTTCAACAGCATCCTGGTTGAACTTCTCCTCTAGACACTTACCTGAAACTGATTAATAAAAGGTGCTATATTTAATCCAAGAGTACGTTCTGTTCCTTGAACAGCATTCTCCTCTAGGAGTGTCTGTGATTCCACAAGCAACCCAAACATCAGCACATATTGAGGAAAGATCTTGCCTCCAGATTGTAGTAAACACCTAAGGAAAAAAGTACATATTTTAAAAAGCTTTTGTGGCTGGGCCACAGTGGCTCAACGCCTGTAATCCCAGCACTTTGGGAGGCCAAGGTGGGTGGATCACCTGAGCCCAAGAGTTCAAGACCAGCCTAGGCAACATGGCAAAACCTCATCTCTATAAAAAATACAAAAACTAGCCAAGCGTGGTGGCATGCACCTATAGTCCCAGCTACTTGGGAGGTTGAGGCAGGAGGACTGCTTGAATCCAAGAGGTAGCAGTTGCAGTGAAATACATCCCACCACTGCATTACACCCTGGGTGACAGAGTGAGACTTTGTCTCAAAAAAACATAAAACAAAAGAAACCCTTTGTAATCCCCCCAATTGTATAAACATCAGTAACTAAGAATCATGATAAATCAGTAAAGAGCTACAGATTACACAGAGTCTAATGGATTTTCTATTATTCATGGCTGGTATTTCAGAATAGTCAACCACTAAAAATAATTTCTCAAGTCAAAGTACTGATCAATGAAAGAGAAAAATGACCAGTTAGCTATTTAAATGAACATACGTCTTTAGATTCAGGGAAGAGTCATCAATGAATGCTAAAACTAGTAGGTCAAAGTTTGATTAGGAAAATATCCTTTTACAGTCTCAAAGTATCACCCCCACAAATGACTTATCACAAAGGGGGAAATAGTGACTTACTGAATGGAGAAATGTGTAGATACAACTTAAATCATGTGATTGTATTAATATCAAAAATAATGGGACAGGCTGGGCACGGTGGCCGAGATGCCTATAATCCCAACACTGTGGGAGGCCAAGGTGAGAGAATTGCTTGAGCCCAGGACTTCAAGACCTGCCTGGGCAACATAGCAAGACCCCATCTCTACAAATAAATAAACTAGCCAGGTGTGGTGGTGCACACCTGTAGTCCCAGCTACTCAAGAGGCTGAGGTGGGAGGATTACTTGAGCCCAGGAGGTCCACACTGCAGTGAGCAGTGACTGCACCACTAAAGAGACATGAAAACTAAATGGAATATATGATCCTGGATTGGATTCCAGACCAGGAACAGAAAAGCTACAAAGGACATTATTGTGACAACTGGTGAAACCTGGATAAAGTTTGTAGCTTAGATAACAGTATTGTGTCCCTGTAAATGTCCTGATTTTAATAATTGTACAGTGATTATATAAGTGAATGTCCTATGCATTCCAAGGTATTAGGAGTAAAGACACATTGTATCTATGGTTCCGGGAAAGAGCCTGAAATGTTTTTTCCCGAACAATTTAGCAGATGTGGCAAAATATTAATAGTTTGTGAATCTGAGTGTAAGGTGTATGGTAAGTTCTTTGTATTCTTAAGTTCTCCAAAGGCTTGAAAATTATTTCAAAATAAAAGGTTAAACACTCCAAATGCAAAATTAAAAAAAAAAAAAAAAAAGTCCAAATACTCTAATACTCGAGGAGAGAGAGAGTCAAGGGTTAACAAAATCCTTTCTCTTCCTACAGCTGACCTTGGGTTTACCTTCTCTTTCTCTGAAAATCTTATAAGAATAAAATGTCAGCTGTGTTTATCAGCAACAGTGCTTATGGTTATAAAAAAAAAAAATCTCTTAATAGGTAGACTGTATCTGGACAGAGAGAACTATGAACAAAGGATAAATGCCTGACGGGAACCCATACCACATGTGGGCTTCCCTGAGAGTGTAACCAGGTGTTCATATTGCTAGGCCGTGGAAGCTGTGCCCATGGGAGAAGAGTTGCTATATGAAGCAAAGGGCTCTTAAGCCAAGGCAGCTTCCACACCTACCTATGTAGTCTTGTTTCCTCACACCCGAGCTATGTGCTATGTGGGTGGGCCACCTACTGACATCCAATGAAACAGAGGTGGAGGATACTTTAAACCAAGTAATTATTTTCATTTTCCACATTTACAATCAAATGTCAAATCTACATTTTTACTGAATATCCCAAGCTTGTTCCTACTTGGATTTCTAGAACAGCATACTAGGCAGGTGAACTTTATATTATCATATGTACATTTTGCAGTATGTTTTTACTCCTAAATTAAATATTTAGAGTAAGAATCCACTTATAAAAATATAGAACTAAACATTTCACCAACACATTTGTTCATATCTTAAAAAGTAATTCATAAACATTTCCAAAATTATATACTATGCAGTCTCCCTAAATAGATCATTAAAACCTAGACAAGCTAAGCTATAAAACACCCCATTCCTCAAAACTACTTTGGCACTACTGCTCTTGAATTAGATTTCAATTAGTTCTCCGGTCTCTTACTAAACTGATTACCTCAATTCTATAACCACTTAAAGATATCTAAAGCAAAATTATAATGACAAGACGTGGCAACTAAATGCAATGTAAGACTCTTGATTAGAACTAGACTGGGAAGAAAAGCAATGAAGAATATTACTGGGGTAATGGGAAATTTTAATATGCTCTATATATTAATAATAGTGTTTTATCAATGTGAAATATCCTGAGTGATAATTTTATTGTGATATGTGGGGAAAAACATTTGTTCTTAGGAAACACATGCTAAATACTAAAGAAAAGATGAAGTTTATGATGCCAACAATCAACTACCAAATGGTTCAGTAAACAATAATCTAGTGTTCTCTATTATTATTCTTGCAATTTTTCCTAAGTTTGAAAATTGTCAAAATAATACATTTGAGGAAAAGTTAATAAGGAAACAGTCTGCTCTTGTAACAGCTCACTCTCTCCTAAAGACAAGCTAACAGGAAGCCATATCCCCAGCCGTAATGTGAGGAGCACAGATTCAGCAAGCAAAGTTAAGAGATGACTCCAAGTGTAATGGCACCAGATTGATAAAGATAAGTCATGATTCTGCACCAGGATAATCTCTCTTCACCCACTAAATATAACGACATGATCCTTTAGAGTTGTAATAAATCCTATATTCATAAATTAGCCTAAGAATGGACTCCACCCTGCCCCCAGTGCTTTACCCATTGTTGCTATTCCTTTCCTATCAACTTTTTGGCATATTAGGTAGTCTGGTAGAAATTCAATCTCCACAGTTAGTGAAATTTCACACCTCATAATAAAAATTGCACAGCTCTTAACCAAATTCCAATCTATGCCTTTACCAAACTGGCTACAATTTTATGTCTTCCCAAATCACTGGAAAAATCTTTTTTCCTCAAAAGGATCAAGTTTAATTCTGAAAACTCATGTTATTAAAATTATCTGAACTGACATTATCTGCTAACTGTGATGCATTTAAGTAAAAATCAGATCTAATTTTCTTCAGGATCACAAAGGTCTCTGAAAGGAGAGACTAGCCACAGAACTTTATGTTGCTTGACTAACAACCCTTCACCCCCCAAATAGCCACAAGAGGGTACCATTCTATGAAATTAGCAAGTTAAAAAAGCACACAGGTTAATAAAAGCTAACCTTATGGTCATGAAATCTATAGGAGAAAGAGAGTTGGGAACGATATCATGTGAGTCACTGAAGTAGTCTTAGGAACCGTTTCTATTTATAAAACGTAGGTTGAGCCCAGGAAGTCAAGGCTGCAGTGAGCCATGATCATGGCACTGCACTCCAGCCTAGGCGACAGAGTGACAGCCTGTCTAAAAAAAATAAAACTTCTGACACCAAGTGGTGGTGGCGGGGGGGCAGGGAGGAAGTTACCACCCCAAAAAAATCTCAGATACCTTTTGAGTGTACTACAACTGAAATCAATACTGACATTACCTGGAGTTAGCATCAAGTGCTATAAGGGCTCCATCCCACATGACTGCCCCCAGTTCTGATGCCAACTGTAGGTCCTGGACTTTCAGTACTTTTGGCCATCTATAAAACTGAAACCACCTTTGCAAAAATTATGGCAGTGAAAGAAATCTAACATAGCTCACTCCATTCTGCTTCTAACCCCACAAACTGACTGTCTCAGGCATAGGGTAAGCTAACTGTGGGAGGAATTTTAGTTTATAGTTTAAAGCAAGGATGATAATAGTCTCTTCCTGAAATGAACCCTCTCCTTGTTCAGGGACCACAGCCACTGTAGAACTAAGGAAAGGCCACAAGGTTAGGATTATGGGAGGAGCCTGAATTCTGCTAAAATGTAGGCACAGTTAAATGATACCCAGTCATTGTACCCTAGCTTGCTTTTCTATAATGCCCTACTGCTCAGGAATCATGGAGCCAGAGGTCACAAGATGTGTAACTGCCCCAATTGCTCCTATAGATAACATCAGTATTGTAAAACCTAAGATTGGTCTTTGAGATATTTTTCAGACTCAACTGCTCCTATGACTCCCACCCAGAAACTTGACTCAGCACAGGAAGACCGTTTTTGACATCCCTATGATTCCATCCCAAACCAGTCAGCAGTATCCATTCCCTAGCCACCAGTTCACCAAATTATTCTTTAAAACTAGCCTGAGTTCTCAGGGAGGTGGATTTGAAAAACATCTCCCATTCTTCCACTTGGCTGCCTTGTGATAATTACATACTTTTCTTTTTTTTTCTTTTTCTTTTTTTTTTTTTTGAGACGGAGTCTCACACTGTTGCCCAGGCTGGAGTGCAGTGCTGCAATCTTGGCTCACTGCAACCTCTGCCTCCCAAATTCAGGCGATTCTCCTGCCTCAGCCTCCTGAGCAGCTGGGATTACAGGCACACATCACCATTCCCAGCTAATTTTTGTATTTTTAGTAGAGATGGGGTTTTACCATGTTGGCCAGGCTGGTCTCAAACTCTTGACCTCAAGTGATCCACCCACCTCGGCCTCCCCAAGTGCTGGGATTACAGGCATGAGCCCACCTAAACTTTCCCTACTGCAACTTCTGCTGTTCTCACTGTATTGGCTTTTCTGGGCAGTGGGCAAGAAGAACCCATCAGGCTGTAACAATCAAGGGTTCCCACAATGTCCTCTTTGAGTTCAATAATTTGCCAGAATGGCTCACAGAACTCAGAAAAACACTTTACTTATATTTACGGATTTATTACAAAGGATACAACTCAGGAATAGCCGAATATAAAGTATACATAGGGCAAATATGATATTGTGATTATAATAAGATACATATGTATCTGGTCTTCATCCTGTTTCCTGCCACAGAACTCCTAACACCCTTGGAACCTACAGAATGGTGTCTTCTGTATGCTAATGAGATAAATGATGACTAAGGGCCCCTACCCAGCCCTAGGTTGGGGGCTAAAAGACCATGGCAAGATTAGAGGATTGGGACTTTCCATCCAACCCACTAGCCTCCAGAGAGAGGAGACACACTGAAGGTTGAGTTGATCACTAATAGCCGGTGATGTAATCAGTCATGCCTACATAACAAAGCTTCCATAAAAACCCAGAAAGACAAGGTTCAGACAGCTTCCAGGTAGCTGAACACATAGAGGTTCCTAGAGGGTGCCCAGAGAGGGCATGGAAGCCCCATGCCACTTCCCACATGCTTGCTCTATGCATCTCTTCATCTGGCTCTTCATCTATATCCTTTGTAACATCCTTCATAATAAATGAAATGGGCAAACATAAGTAAAGTGTTTCCCTGAGTTCTGCGAACCACTCTAGAAAATTAACGGAACTCGAAGAAGTGGTCTCAGGAACTTCCAGTTTACAGCCTGTGAGAAGTACAAGTGACAACCTACTACTTGTAACTGGCATATGAAGTAGGGGGCAGTCTGTGGAACTGAGTCCTCAACCTGTGGGATCTGACACTATCAACTAAGTGATAATCAGTTTAGTTCTCCGTTATCTATGCTTGCAAATTTTTTTTCTCTGTTATTATCCTTGCAACTCAACTTCTATATGGAATGAGATGAATGGTGACTAAGACCCCCTCCCTACCCTTAGGTTGGGGGCTAAAAGATAGTGTCAGATCTTAGCTATGTTCAGATAAAATGACCATTGCTTTGAAACTCTGCTTATCTTTACTAACATTGAGTGTTTTGTTGTTACTTACATTACTGCAACTGCTAGACTCCTCAGAAATCTTTTGCAAAGCTAAATGATACTTCAGAACCATCCATGCCTTCAGCAATGAAAAAAATAATGTTGTAACTCAAAAGTCTAACAAAATACAACAGACTGGGTAATTTATAAAGAACAGCAACTTATTTGGCTGACTGTTCATGGCAGAGGGCAGAGAGATAGAGAGAGGAGAGGGAGGGAGAGAGAGAATGGGAAAGAGGGCTGACCTCATCCTGTATAAAAACCCCCACTCCCATTCATGATAATGGCATTAATCCACTTATGAGGGCAGAGCCCCCCTGACCTCATCCCCGCTTAAATATCACACCTCTCAATACTGTTGCAATGAGAATTAACTTTCCAACACATGAGCTTTGGAGGAGACGTTCAAACCATAGCCATGGTTTTCAAAAAATCAAAAAACGAAAGAGTTTACCAAGCCTTCAAGCTTTCCCCTGTATTTTAAACTAGCATGAGTGAATAGAACTTAAGAATGAACTTTTTTTTTTTTTTTTTGAGATGGAGTTTCGCTCTTGTTGCCCAGAGCTGGAGTGCAATGGCGCGATCTCAGCTAACAGCAACCTCCCCCTCCCGGGTTCAAGTGATTCTCCTGCCTTAGCCTCCCAAGTAGCTGGGATTACAGGCATGCGCCACCATGCCTGGCTCCTTTTTTTTTTTAATTTTTAGTAGAAATGGGGTTTCTCCATGTTGCTCAGGCTGGTCTCAAACTCCAGATCTCAGCTGATCAGTCCGCCTTGGCCTCCCAAAGTGCTGGGATTACAGGCATAAGCCACCACTTCCAGCAAGAATGATCATTTAAAAACAACTGCAGATCAGGCACAGTGGCTCACACCCATAATCCCAACACTCTGGGAAGCCAAGACAGGAGCCCAATTACAATACATCACATTAACAGAATGAAGACCACATGATCATCTCAATGGATGCAGAAAAAGCATTTGACAAAAATCACACTTTCATGACAAAAGCATTAAACAAACTAGGAATAGAAGGAAACTACCTCAACATAATAAAAGCCATATATGAAAAGCCCACAACTATTAATATCACCACACTTGAAGATATATATATCTTGGTTTCAAAATATGGTTCTCCACTAAAAGGAACCAAAAGGAACCAGAGTCCCTTGGAGAAAGACTAATCCTAAGGTTGGGGTTGAGAAAAATTCAAGATGAAAATAAAACATCTGGTTGCACCAAAGAAAGAACATGCTCAAAGAATTATGGGAATGTGTCAAAAAGACACAGGAACTAGTTTAAAGGACCTCCCACTGGCCAAACTTGGGACGATTTTAGCATCAAATGAAGTCACATGTCCTGAAAATGCTTGAGGAGCATACAATGATCTTGACTTATTTTTACAGTTATGCCATTAAAGAACTTAAGGAATTTACATAAAATCTGAGCTTAAAAAAAAAAAAAAAAAAAAAAAAAACGAAAAGTTATGATGTTGTGTTTTACCTGGATATTGCAGCTTTTTCCATTATTTCCTGCTGAATGAGCCCAGATGGCTCAATGACATCCAATATAATTATGCTCCATAACTTGTCTGATTTTGGCCTTTGTAACATAGCAGATTCATCCTCCACATGTCTCAGCCAGAACTCAAGTGTTTCTTTAGGAAAGTGATTGGCTTCAGATATGAGGTCCAGAGCAATACGATGCTGATCTTTCTCCACAGAACTGTATGGTTTAACCTGCCCAAGTGTGCCAGCAATAAGAGGCAGAATAGAGAAGCCTTCAGACACATCTAACACATAGAAAGGTTCAGGGATGTTCTGTACAGTATTACTCTGTCCAGTTCCAGAGTTCATCTCATTCTGACAGTGAGTATCCATGGTCTGATACAGTTTCTCTGGAGTCAGTGAAGACAAAACTTTGCTCATTGCCATTTTAAAGCCTTCATGATATGGGAGGTTGTTAAGCAAAGCAATTTCTGTAGATTCCAATACACATGTCTGCTCTACAGCATCTGGTTTACTGGTCTGAAGGTTAGCAAGGGCACTACAAAGTTCAGCCTCATTTCCTAATGACAACAAGTCTTTATTCTGGGTAAAACTTCTTGCAACATCCATTTCACATTCCAAATCCAAGACACTGATACTCTGGATTCTTAAGTAACAGTCTTGACAAGACACTTCCATCATCACATGGTCTCCAGGCTTTATCCAGTAGTCTTCATTAAATAGTAAGAAAGAAAAAACAAAATATATGGAGTGCTTATAAGCCAAAGGATCACATAAACATCTCTATCCTCCATCTAACCCCCCATTCTTTAAATCACTATAGAAAGGATTACAAATACTCATTTAATATACAAAAAAAAAAGAACAGGAAAACCCTACCAGATTTACTTAGGGAAAAACTGAAATTTGAAGATTCAATTAACCAGTAGCATAATGGAGACATTCAAGAGCTCCATTATTGACCCTGAGACTGTCAGTGTGATAATGTTTTTACTGCCATCACTAGGTCTCTCCATATCCCCAAACTGGGGTGTTGGTGGAGTACTGCAGCGGACTCTATCATCTTTGGTAATGAAGGCTAATAACAACAAAGATAAAATTCAGGGATAAATATCAAACCTCACTTTAGCTTAAAGAGACGTTCTTTTCTCTAAGAGAAATTTCCAAAAGAACAAGGTAACATTCAACAGAATTGTATCAGTTATATTTGTTAACTGTAAGCATTCTTGCATGTCTAGGAACTTCAAAGTATAAAGAAGAATCAAGTCCTACAATAAAAACCATATCATACTCCTTTCATATGTGGGAAAACTTCCGTTTGTTTTGTTTTGTCTTTTGAGACAAGGTCTCACTCTGTCACCCAGGCTGGGATGCAGTGGTGTAACAAGGCCCCCTGCAGCCTCCAACTCCTGGGCTCAAGCGATCCTCCTGCCTCAGCCTCCCAAGTAGCTACAACTACAGATGCATGCCACCAGGCCCAGCTATTTTTTTTTTTTAAATAGAGATGAGGTCTTGCTATTTTACCCAGGCTGGTCTTGAACTCCTGGGCTCAAGTGATCCTCTTGCCTCAGCCTTCCAATGTGTTGGGATTACAGGCATGAGCCACTGCGCCTGGCCTACATGTGATAAAATTTTAAAATGTAAATGTATAAATGTATAATCGCAATTCCTTCTCATTAGCCCTAGAACCAGCTGAAAATACAAGTTGTTACACTTTTTTGGGTTTTTTGGAGACAGTGTCTTGCTTTGTGGCCTAGGCTGGAGTGTAGTGGTATGATCACTGTGGCCTCAATCTTAGGGCTCAAGTTATCCTCCCACCTCAGCCTCCAGAGTAGCTGGAACTACAGGCGGTCACCACCATACCTGAATTTTAAAAAATTTTTAGAAGAGACCAGGCTGTTCTCAAACTCCTGAACTTCAGCAATCCTCCTACCTCGGCAGGAGGATCCCAAAGCGCTGTGATTACAGGTATGAGCCACTGAGCCCAGCCATAAATTGCTATTCTTATGCTTAAACATATAAATGTCCTTTCTCTAAGAAGGATTAAAAAACAAAAGACATCTGTCTAAGTTACTACAGGTAAAAGAGAGTTAGAACAAACACAAGTAAAAAATATCATTCACTGAGTGCCAGTCACTGTGGTAGGCATTTATACCTACCATCTCTAAGAATCCCTAAAACAGTGCTGCAAGATAAATGGTATCATCCCATTTTTATATATGATACAACATAAGCTCTGAGAAACAAGTGGCAAGGATGGCCAGGAGGGATTCAGTAAGTAGCAGAGCCAAGAACTGAATCCAAATCTACCTAACTGGCTCCAAAAACAACATACTAGCCACAACAATATACTGATTCCAGGCTTTTATGACCTTGCCAAATTAGATCCCTTGATTAAGAAACTAAACAGAAATAGATGTATTAACTTCCAGTTTAAGAAGGGTAGAGTTTCTTCCAGGCTTTTATGACCTTGCCAAATTAGATCCCTTTGATTAAGAAAACTAAACAGAAATAGATGTGGCTTAACTTCCCAGTTTAAGAAGGGTAGAGTTTCTGTGTGTGTGTGTGTGTGTGTGTGTGTGTGTGTGTGTGTGTGTGTGTGTGTCTGTGTGTGTATCAGGATCTCCCTCTCCCTCTGTTGTCCAGGCTGGAGTGCAGTGTTACAATCTTGGCTCACTGCAGCCTCAACCTCCTGGACTCAAAGGAGCCTTCTTCCTCAGTGCCCCAAGTAGCTGGAACTACAAGCACTTGCCACCATCCCCAGTTAATTTTTTTCATTTTGTAGAAACGAGGTCTTGCAGCCGGGCACGGTGGCTCACACCTGTAATCCCAGCACTTTGGGAGGCCGAAGTGGGCGGATCAAGAGGTCAGGAGATCAAGACCATCCTGGCTAACACAGCAAAACCCCATCTCTACTAAAAATACAAAAAAATTAGCTGGGCGTGGTGGCATGCACCTGTAGTCCCAGCTACTCAAGAGGCTGAGGCAGGAGAATCGCTTGAACCCAGGAGGCAGAGGTTGCAGTGAACTGAGATTGCGCCACTGCACTCCAGCCTGGGTGACAGAGTGAGACTCCATCTCAAAAAAAGAAAAAAAGAAGTGAGGTCTGGCTATGTTGCCCAGGCTGGTTTAAACTCCTGGCCTCAAGCAATCCTCCCACCTGGGCCTCCCAAAGTACTAGGGTTACAGGTGTCAGCCACCATACCCAGCCTAAAAAGGGTTGTTTTTCTATATAATTCAAATACTTTAAACTTACATTAAACCCATCGAATCACTGTAAAAAAAATTTCCATACCAAAAAAAAATCTTTAATACAGAACTTCCCTAGGGAAGTTCACAGATCCATGAACTCTCTAAAACTGAAAAACTTTGTGCTTGTATGAATGTGTACATTTTTATGACCCAGGGCTCCACAGACGTCATCAGCTTCTCTAAGGAGTAAGAACTCCTGCACTAAAAGCAGTACTTTTCCAATACTTCCCATGAAATAATGGAGCAGGACTTCTTTCATCTACTGATAACTAGAAAAATCAGAGCTGAAGAAATAATGATAGGTTTTCCAAGTGCTATGCAACAGAGTTGTGTTTGTCTCTCTTAACCACAAATATTACCTATTTCAAATTTCTTTTGGAAAAAAAAAAAAATGGAATTCTAAAAGATTTAACCAACCTCCCTTGACTGAAAACTTCATATCGAAAGGATTTCTTTTTTTTTTTTTTGCCACTGACTCGAATACTTAGAAGATTAAAGCAAAAGGTTTAAAAAAAAAAAAAAAATTGACAAGACCTACCTGTAAGGTCCTGTACGGGGTAGACAGCCTGTTCCCAACATGTTTCCTCACTAGGACTTGTGGATAAACTATGTTCATCATCAAGCTGGAGCACAAACCAAACCATAATAGCATCTAGTATGCCTTCTTTAATAACAGGAATACCAATCTTATCAGGCTTTTTAGTTGCAAGACTTTTTAATTCCTGAGAAAAATGTAAAAGGAATGAAAGGGTTTGATGTATTTCATATATACATGCCTCAGTATCTTACCATTTTCCATCTCTGGAGTTCTTAGTCCTGCCCAGCTCCCTGAGGGATTCAGTATACTGGCACACCTATAACCATGTTAAGGCACAATGGTTGGGAAGCTCTGACCTATTTTATTGGAATACCATGTAGCTATTATTAAAAAGAATGAAGCAGATATATATTGCTGATATGGAGAGAAGTCCATAACATATTGTTGAATGAAAAAGGTTAAGTAACAAAGCAGTGGAGATTGTTTTGTTTAGAAAATAGAGGGAGATGGAAGGGGGTAGGGAGAGAGAGGGAGTAGGGAGAGAGAAAGAATGTGTAAGAGAGAGTGAGAGAGAGAGAGAGGGAGTGTGTGTGTGTATGTACAGAAGAGTAGGTCTGGAAAGACGCACTTCTAACTAGTGACCTGGGGAAAGAAGGGTTAAGATTTTAAAAAGGAAGAAAAATACTAGGACTTTTTCCTTTCTATCCTGTATTGCTTGAAAGTATTAAACAGACATGCATGACTTTTGAAACTAAAACCTTAATAAGATTTGTGTGTGTGGCTAAGAAAAATTAAAATTTTTAAAAGCCTTAAAATAATAAAAGGATAACTGGCAGCTACAAACGTGTTACTTGCTACTGAAAGTCATAACAGGTAAGGAATGCTCTTGAAGCTCAGAAAGCTCAGCCTCAGTAAGCAAGGCCGAATTGTTAAATTAGTTCCAAATCACCTCAAGAACAAGGTGGTAACAAATAATAAAGGAAAGCTTCTATTAAATTATAAAAATTTTAGGCTAGCTGGGCATGGTGGCTCATGCCTGTAATCCCAGCACTTTGGGAGGCCGAGGTGGGTGGATCATTGAGGTCAAGAGTTCGAGACCAGCCTGGCCAACATCGTGAGACCCTGTCTCTACTAAAAATACAAAAATTAGCCGCTCATGGTTGTGGGTGCCTGTAATCCCAGCTACTTGGGAAGCTCAGGCAGGAGAATCGCTTGAACCCGAAAAGTGGAGGCTGCAGTGAGCCAAGATCACATCACTGCATTCCAGCCTAGGCAATAAGAGCGAAACTCTGTCTCAAAAAAAAAAAAAAAAATCTTAGGCTAAAATTACCCCCCACAAGTCTTCTATCTCCAAACAGGTTTCACTTATAACATTTATGTCCTTGAACATTGAACTTTACTTATTAAAGACCTTCAGAGAATTCTATGTAACCTTTCCAATTTCTTTCAGCACCTTTTTTTTTTTTTTTTTTTTTTTTT